GTCGCTAGAATTGTGGATATAAAATTTCATACTGTGGGCTTCTAAATTTCTCATTTCATTTCGTTGATATTATATTGATCAAAATCAATAATTTCATAGTGAAGTATTTTATGACAAAATCGGAAATGTAGGTGCAGATGAAGTTATTGCAATCATTAAGATATTCTTGACCATCTCTAATTCATCATTTTCCAAAATATCCATGATCTTTGACTAAACGATACAGCCATTTAACATTTAAGGTGCAAATATTAAAAATTAATTCTTTAGTTTTTTGGAATGTAGTATGAACTTCGAGGATGATTTTTAAAAATAACATATGACAAAAATGGTGTACACCCAGGGGCGGATCTGGGAACCAACAAGGGGGGGGCCCAAACTTCTGGTCTGAGAAAAAAACTTTGGGCCCCAAAAACCCAAAAGTGGGCCCAAATTTTGAAATTTTGAGGCCCATTTTCTTCAAAATTTGGCCTAAAATCAAAAAACAAGGCCTTAGAAGGCCAATTTTTGACCAAATAGGCCTACTTTTTGGGGCCTTAAGGCCTTTTTTGGCTCAAAATTTTTTTTGGGCACAATTTTTTTTTTCTGGGCCCACCCAAGGGGGGGGGGGGGGGGCCGGGCCCCTGGGCCCCCCCCCCAGATCCGCCAGTGACACCCAAATAATTTTAAGATTTAAAGTGCGTGCGAATCCATACAGAATGCGCGGGGGTCCGTACTTGGGGACTATTAATAGGCTCAACCAAAGTTTGCAGAATTACTCGTCGGCATAATCTGCGCCCTCAAAACCCGTGTTTGCCGTTATCAAAATCCGCCTTCGCAAAAATGAGAAAGATTCATAATAAGAGTCGTACGTTTTATTTTTTGGAGGTTTCAAACCTGGATTTAATTGCTTTAGAAGGGTTCTTCTCTATTACTACTTTAATGTTAGATTTTAACCCAGGAGGAGTGAGTAGCTCCCATAATTCTTTCATATTCTATCGTATTCGGGGATTCCCCATTACATCATCTCTTGCATCATCTCCAATCAAATTGCAGGATTCGATCACGTGAACAATAATGAGCACGTGCTCTCTCAGTGCTGCGCATGCGCAAAGTTAAATTTGAAATCGTGGGAATGGCGTTAACATCAGCTCAACATCAGCATTTCAAACCTACGGTAATACTATTGAAGTTACTCGATCCATACTTGTAGAGAATACTCATAAAACTACAGTGAACATTTGGAGATCCATTTCAACGGCAAATTGAGGCCTGTTTATAAAATTTGTTTTCGAACGTACTAATATGATAGGTCATCTTTGGGAAATCTCCCCCCCTGATTTTAACCCAGACTACACAATAGAAATTGTGAACACTGGGGGTAGTAATAGCGCGGTGTTGTATTAAATCAATCATTATCCATATTTATTAATAAAAATGAATATGTTTCACGTTCTAAATCTCTACTAGTCAATCTTTCTTTGTTTTAGTAGCCGTGTACTGGTATATTAGCTTAGTCAAAATAGAGAACGAACGAGTATAAGGGGTCTTCTAGCTTTGCACATTTTAGACCAATCAGAATACATAATGTATCCTCTGTATCAAAAGTGTTTTCCTATTGAGTAAACCCTGAGAGTGAACTCTTAAATAACCTTTGTAAATGGCAAGTAAATTTAATGGAACCTTTCACACATAATTTAAGGCATATAATACACCTTCTGTGAAAAGTTGGAGACAATTGATAAATTTTTACTGATAATATTACATACAGAACATGGCATATGCCAAAAACACCGATGTGACTTTACTCACTTCTGCAATTTCTTTTATTTGACATCATTTTAAACATATTGTAACGGAGAGATTGAATTGAAAATTTTCTGAAACATAGAAAATATAGTCAAAGTACATATCAATTTACATTATCACATTTTCTTTCGTTTCAGGCTTTGAAAATATGATAGTCTATGAGGAAAAAGACTTTTGAGGAGTATATTTATTACATGCACGACTTACTGGTATATGTACAGTACATGGTATAAACTGTATATTGGCGAACTTTGAAATGCTACATCTCAAGACAACCAAAATGTGCCACACATGTATCGAAAATGGAATGTGCAGATACACATTAATTTTACATTTTTTTATAGAATTTACATCGTGTAGCTATACTACTCTGATACTTGTTAATTTCTGCGTAACAACAAGCGAGCCTATAACCTATAAAGTTTTCCATCTGATTCTGCCTGATGATCATTGTGCAGTCATTGTGCATATTCACTAACAAATAGCATTGCGTCTTCCAAATATGTTTGGAATTTCGATGTTGATTGCCTTTTTTCTATTTTCATACAGGTGTTGTTTATATACATTAGATACGACGTCAAATACTGTACATCACGGCGTAACAGTGTAATTGTTGATTTTACTGACAAAAAATGCGAAAATTTACGTGCAATGCTCCTTTAAGTTATTGCAATAGTTTTAATATTCGTGGAATCTTCTTAAAAATTTCAAGTTTTGTTCAAATTAATGTGCGTAACAAAACAATTCTATAGTCAAAAAGGTTATGTCACGATATAGAGAATTAGAATCACCAGAAAGTTGACAATTCAAACACTACCTGTTTTCTACTTTGTCGCGTTTTCGGCCCTGCGCTCTCGTTGTCGCAACGTCTTTCTAGACTCTTTCACAGAGCCCCTTGTCATATTCAACAGATATGCACAGACAGGGAAAATATTAAGAATTGTTAAATTTATTATTTGTAATTTATTTTAACTCGAGTATTTAGTTTTATTTAGTTAAAGCAACAGATAATAAAGGAGAACATATACTACGTTTTGAATATTTATCACTCAATTAGAGATATTTAAACTCAAAAAATGAAACGTAATTTTATGAATTTTTCACATGGCTTCACTTCATATTTCTTTCAATTTATACTTCTTACAGTTTTAATTTTAATCGAAATGATATATTTTTTGAAAAATGTAGAATATGCCTTTAAGGAATCAAAAAAGAATAATTCACCTTTCAAACGGTTTAATATTTAATTGATCAAAAGATATATCTTATTCATACGAAATTCTGCCTGTCCACACCTTTTGGGCATAAATATAAGCGTTAAGTTACCATTGTTATATTATAACGTCATCACACAGAATCTGTTTGTCTTTTTCAAAATGGTGAATTCAAATATTGTGAAAATTTGAGAAAGATTTGTTCAAAAATGAAAAAGTTATCTTCATTTTTCGTTTAAAATTAAAATCATTTTTCTTCAAAATGTTACAGTCCACACCCGGTTTTAGCATAGAAAGTCACATAATACGGCTTGCGTGATTCTCATTAAAAAAAGTTCAAATTTTTTTTTTTTTGAATTCCGATAGGCAAAATATTTCATGGACATATATGTTCAACTAATGACAAAAGATTGTAGAAAAATATGATTTTGCTGTCGAGATATCGCGGTTTTAAATGTGAGTACGCATGTAAAAATGCAGTAAAATGCCGTGATGTACAGGGTGGTCCAAAAAATGGGACACACGTATGTCAAAAATAAATATTGATTTTCTTGATGAAAATATGTCATATTATATACCAATGGATAGGGAATTTACTTATCTTTAAGTTGGTATATCATAAGTTCAAATTTATTATGTTGTCTGTCAACCAGCGTCCATAATATAAATGATGTCATTTTCATTTCAAAACGGGTTTTCCAAAACTTGCAAAAGCAAGTTTTATTGTCAACTTTATTCACATAAACAGACGTTCAATATGTCCACCATTTTGATCAATTGTAACCCTCAATTTTGGCCTAAACTGGCCAATAGCATCATTGATATGCTGTTAAAGACAAAGAATTTCACTTCTCATTAATTCAATTCTGTTCTCAAGATACTGAATAGATGTAAAGGATATGTGGTAGCTCGCAGACATTGGTTGATCGTATGATCTGGGGGAGGCAATGATTAGGGAGATGAATCTAGGCTCATTTTCTTTTAAACATTTGACACTCTTGTGAGATATATTGCTTGGAGCCCCATGTTGGAAAATGTAATGATTCGAGAATGAGCTCATAACTGGATGGTCTAAAAACAACAAAATTGGATAATGCGATGTCAACGTCTGGTACTAACACGTATTGGGAGAACGAACAGAATTGGTTTACCATGAACCCCTAACATCTACTCAGTCCCTTATTAAGGATAGACTTGTTGAGAAGTGGAATTCATTGTCTAAACAGAATATCAATGATGTTTTTGACCAGTGAAGGCCAAAATTGAGAGCTATAATTGATCAAAATGATGGACATATTGAACGCCTGTTTGTGCAAAAAAGTTGACAAAAATGTGTTTTTTGCAAGTTTTGGAGAACCCGTTTTGAAACTAAAATGACGTCATCTATATAATGGACGCTGGTTGACAGACATTATAATGAATTTGAACTAATGATATACCAAATTAAAGATAAGTAAATTCCCTATCCACTGGTATATAATATGACATGTTTTCATCAAGAAAAACATTATTTATTTTTGAAATACGAGTGTCCCATTTTTTGGACCACCCTGTACAATATATGACGTCGTATCATTAACATTTGATTTGATTGCATAGATATTAAAGAAATCATTTTAATTTTGGGCAGTTCTGTGGTTGTGAATCACATTGTAAATTCATCTGAAAACTCTTTTTCTCTATGAATGTAACAGAAACATTTATTTCAGATTGTCCTTATTAAGATGTTCCTCGTATACCTGGCCATCATGCATTCAACAACAGCTATACGATTGGACATGACGAATAGGCAACTGACAACAATAACAGACAAAATGTTCAAAACAGAAACAACTGCAACAATTCTGTCGCTGAACAACAATAACATTTCGGAAATTGAGGCTGGTGCATTCGAAGGTTTAACATTACTGGAAAGGTTATATCTACAAGTCAATAAAATTGCAATATTGAAAGTTGGACTTTTTCAGGATCTCACCTCATTATCATACCTTCGACTTTCTGATAATGAAATAACAGAGTTAACGCCTGGTGTTTTTAGGGGTTTGCAGTCATTAAAAGTGCTAGATGTAAGTGGTAATAGACTTCCAAAGTTGACCAAAGGCATGTTCAATAACCTATCCGCATTGACAAAGCTTTTCCTAAAACGCAATGCCATAACAAAAATAGAGTCGGGTGTATTTTTGGATTTGCAATCACTGCAAGAATTATATTTAGATAGAAATTTATTGGTAATTTTGACAAATAATGTATTTAGTGATCTAGTATCATTAAAAGTCCTTCAGCTTAATGCCAATGGTATTTTAGAAATTGAGCCGGATGCTTTTAGAGGCTTGTATGCCTTGGATGTACTCTTTCTTGTCTCTAATGAAATACAAGACTTTTCACCTGGTACATTTAATGATTTACATTTTCTAAAAGGACTTTATTTATCCGATAACAATCTTACAAATGTGACACAGGGAATGTTTGACAACCTTACATCACTGTCACGTCTTGACATCAAACACAATGGCATTGTAGAGATTCAGACAGGTGCTTTAAGTGGTTTACACAGCATGACATCGTTTTACGTTATGTATAATAAACTTTCAAAATTGAAAGAGAACATGTTCAGAAATCTTGTATCGTTGACCTCGCTCTTTCTTTCATACAACGACGTAAAAGAGATTACATCTGGTGCATTTAGGAGTATGCGTTCATTAAATAATCTATCTATGATGAATAATAGACTTACATATTTGACAGTGGATATGTTTAATGACCTGGTAGAATTGAAGTCAATATATCTTTCCTACAATGAAATACATACGATTGCATCTGATACGTTTATCAATTTACAATCATTATCATCTATATTTTTAAGTAATAATAAACTTACAAAATTGACACGTGGAATGTTTCAAGGCCTAATATCATTGAAAACAATCAATCTCTCCTTCAATGAAATAAGTGATATTGCGCCCGGTACATTTAGAAATTTGTATTCTCTAAAATATCTAAATCTAAATGATAATAAACTCATAACGATTCATATTGGTACTCTCACTGCCCTTTCTAATCTTGAACAGCTTCGTCTAAACGGGAACCAACTTCAAGAAATACCACCTGATATATGTAAAGGTGAGCATAAATTACAACAATTAGTTATAAGTGAAAATAAAACATATTATGCATCACATGGGGACTTTGGCGATGCGATTACTTTTAGACATATCTGTGACAGCCAAATGAAACATTCGACAACTATTGCTGATGAACAAATCGCAACTACGCAATTGCAACATGTATCAACTGAGGCAACAGTGTTAAGTGTTCCATTGGTGGCTGGTATGGCAATTGGAAGTTCAGGTTTTATTGTATCAATTATCATCATACTGTTATTAGCGATGTTCAGAATGCGACGTTTACGTAAGCGTTAGTTAATCAGACAATGTTCAGTATTATTGATTTATTATACTGATATTATTGATGTCCAGAATGCGACATAAGCATTAGTAAATCAGACAATGTTCAGTAACGTTCAGTTGTTATACCGATATCAGTGATGTTTAGAATGCGACATAAGCGTTAGTTAATCAGACAATGTTCAGTATCATTGATTTATTATACTGATATCAGTGATATTTAGAATGCGACATAAGCGTTAGTTAATCAGACAATGTTCAGTATCATTGATTCATTATACTGATATCAGTGATGTTTAGAATGCGACATAAGCGTTAGTTAATCGGACAATGTTCAGTATCATTGAGTTATTATACTGATATCAGTGATGTTTAGAATGCGACATAAGCGTTAGTTAATCAGATAATGTTCAGTAACATTGATTTATTATACTGATATCAGTGATGTTTAGAATGCGACATAAGCGTTAGTTAATCAGACAATGTTCAGTATCATTGAGTTATTATACCGATATCAGTGATGTTTAGAATGCGATATAAGCGTTAGTTAATCAGACAATGTTCAGTATCATTGATTTATTATACCGATATCAGTGATGTTTAGAATGCGACATAAGCGTTAGTTAATCAGACAATGTTCAGTATCATTGATTCATTATACTGATATCAGTGATGTTTAGAATGCGACATAAGCGTTAGTTAATCAGACAATGTTCAGTATCATTGATTTGTTATACTGATATCAATGATGTTCAGAATGCGACGTAAGCGTTAGTTAATCAGACAATGTTCAGTATCATTCATTTATTATACTGATATCAGTGATGTTTAGAATGCGACATAAGCGTTAGTTTATCAGATAATGTTCAGTAACATTTATTTATGATACTGATATTATTGATGTCCAGAATACGACATAAGCGTTAGTTAATCAGACAATTTTCAGTAACGTTCAGTTGTTATACTGATATTAGTGACGTTCAGAACGCGACATCAGTTAATCAGACAATGTTCAGTAACATTGATTTATTATACTGATATCAGTGATGTTTAGAATGCGACATAAGCGTTAGTTAATCAGACAATGTTCAGTATCATTGATTTGTTATACTGATATCAATGATGTAAGCGTTAGTTAATCAGACAATGTTCAGTATCATTGATTTATTATACTGATATCAGTGATGTTTAGAATGCGACATAAGCGTTAGTTAATCAGATAATGTTCAGTAACATTTATTTATTATACTGATATTATTGATGTCCAGAATACGACATAAGCGTTAGTTAATCAGACAATTTTCAGTAACGTTCAGTTGTTATACTGATACTAGTGACGTTCAGAACGCGACATCAGTTAATCAGACAATGTTCAGTAACATTGATTTATTATACTGATATCAGTGATGTTTAGAATGCGACATAAGCGTTGGTTAATCAGATAATGTTCAGTAACATTGATTTATTATACTGATATCAGTGATGTTTAGAATGCGATATAAGCGTTAGTTAATCAGACAATGTTCAGTATCATTGATTTATTATACCGATATCAGTGATGTTTAGAATGCGACATAAGCGTTAGTTAATCAGACAATGTTCAGTATCATTGATACATTATACTGATATCAGTGATGTTTAGAATGCGACATAAGCGTTAGTTAATCAGACAATGTTCAGTATCATTGATTTATTATACTGATATCAGTGATGTTTAGAATGCGACATAAGCGTTAGTTAATCAGACAATGTTCAGTATCATTGAGTTATTATACTGATATCAGTGATGTTTAGAATGCGACATAAGCGTTAGTTAATCAGACAATGTTCAGTATCATTGAGTTATTATACTGATATCAGTGATGTTTAGAATGCGACATAAGCGTTAGTTAATCAGATAATGTTCAGTAACATTGATTTATTATACTGATATCAGTGATGTTTAGAATGCGACATAAGCGTTAGTTAATCAGATAATGTTCAGTAACATTGATTTATTATACTGATATCAGTGATGTTTAGAATGCGACATAAGCGTTAGTTAATCAGATAATGTTCAGTAACATTGATTTATCATACTGATATCAGTGATGTTAAGAATGCGACATAAGCGTTAGTTAATCAGACAATGTTCAGTATCATTGATTTGTTATACTGATATCAATGATGTTCAGAATGCGACGTAAGCGTTAGTTAATCAGACAATGTTCAGTATCATTGATTTATTATACTGATATCAGTGATGTTTAGAATGCGACATAAGCGTTAGTTAATCAGATAATGTTCAGTAACATTTATTTATTATACTGATATTATTGATGTCCAGAATACGACATAAGCGTTAGTTAATCAGACAATTTTCAGAAACGTTCAGTTGTTATACTGATATTAGTGACGTTCAGAACGCGACATCAGTTAATCAGACAATGTTCAGTAATATTGATTTATTATACTGATATCAGTGATGTTTAGAATGCGACATAAGCGTTGGTTAATCAGATAATGTTCAGTAACATTGATTTATTATACTGATATCAGTGATGTTTAGAATGCGATATAAGCGTTAGTTAATCAGACAATGTTCAGTATCATTGATTTATTATACCGATATCAGTGATGTTTAGAATGCGACATAAGCGTTAGTTAATCAGACAATGTTCAGTATCATTGATTCATTATACTGATATCAGTGATGTTTAGAATGCGACATAAGCGTTAGTTAATCAGACAATGTTCAGTATCATTGATTTATTATACTGATATCAGTGATGTTTAGAATGCGACATAAGCGTTAGTTAATCAGACAATGTTCAGTATCATTGAGTTATTATACTGATATCAGTGATGTTTAGAATGCGACATAAGCGTTAGTTAATCAGACAATGTTCAGTATCATTGAGTTATTATACTGATATCAGTGATGTTTAGAATGCGACATAAGCGTTAGTTAATCAGACAATGTTCAGTATCATTGAGTTATTATACTGATATCAGTGATGTTTAGAATGCGACGTAAGCATTATATTTAGTTAATCAGACAATGTTCAGTAACATTAAGTTATTATACTGATATAAGTGATGTTCAGAATGCGACATAAGCGTTATATTTAGTTAATCAGACAATGTTCAGTAACATTCAGTTATTATACTGAGGTCGGTGATATTCAGAATGCGACATAAACATTTATAATTATACTGATATTAGTGAAACATAGAATGCGACATAAACATTCAGTTATTTTACTGATATAAGTGAAACATAGGATGCGACATAAACATTCAGTTATTAAACTTATATGAGTGAAACATAGGATGCGACATAAACATTCAGGTATTATACTGATATTAGTGAAACATTCAGTTATTATACTGATAGAAGTGATTATCAGTAAAATTTGGTTATTACACTGATAGTAGTGATAAAAGTAATTAGAAAATTCTGTCATTATTCATATAAGTGGTGTGCAGAATGTGACAGTATGAATAGATATGGTTTATTCATTAATATAGTTGGTATACATTCTAAATATTGAACCTGTTTATTTAGGAAGCTTTATTGTATTTCATGTTTTTCGTATTGCACATACAGTTAGTACATGTATATAGATTTATGAACTATCTATAAATGTTATTGAAAACTTCATATTATTGCTTAGATTATTTGTCGAGTTGCCATTTTCTAGTTCATTAAAATAGTTGCCATAAATTCTAAATATTGAACCCGTTTATTTAGGAAGCTTTATTGTATTTCATGTTTTTCGTATTGCACATACAAGTAGTACATGTATATAGATTTATGAACTATCTATAAATGTTATTGAAAACTTCATATTATTGCTTAGATTATTTGTCGAGTTGCCATTTTCTAGTTCATTAAAATAGTTGCCATAAATTCTAAATATTGAACCCGTTTATTTAGGAAGCTTTATTGTATTTCATGTTTTTCGTATTGCACATACAGTTAGTACATGTATATAGATTTATGAACTATCTATAAATGTTATTGAAAACTTCATATTATTGCTTAGATTATTTGTCGAGTTGCCATTTTCTAGTTTATTAAAATAGTTGCCATAAATTCTAAATATTGAACCCGTTTATTTAGGAAGCTTTATTGTATTTCATGTTTTTGGTATTGCACATACAGTTAGTACATGTATATAGATTTATGAACTATCTATAAATGTTATTGAAAACTTCATATTATTGCTTAGATTATTTGTCGAGTTGCCATTTTCTAGTTCATTAAAATAGTTGCCATAAATTCTAAATATTGAACCCGTTTATTTAGGAAGCTTTATTGTATTTCATGTTTTTCGTATTGCACATACAGTTAGTACATGTATATAGATTTATGAACTATCTATAAATGTTATTGAAAAATTCATATTATTGCTTAGATTATTTGTCGAGTTGCCATTTTCTAGTTTATTAAAATAGTTGCCATAAATTCTAAATATTGAACCCGTTTATTTAGGAAGCTTTATTGTATTTCATGTTTTTCGTATTGCACATACAGTTAGTACATGTATATAGATTTATGAACTATCTATAAATGTTATTGAAAACTTCATATTATTGCTTAGATTATTTGTCGAGTTGCCATTTTCTAGTTCATTAAAATAGTTGCCATAAATTCTAAATATTGAACCCGTTTATTTAGGAAGCTTTATTGTATTTCATGTTTTTCGTATTGCACATACAGTTAGTACATGTATATAGAATTATGAACTATCTATAAATGTTAGTGTAAACTTCATATTATTATTTGTCGATTAATTGTTCAAAATTATCAACTATGTTTGTGGCTACATATGTCATTGTATGGGTAGATTTTTTAATTGATTGGTTGACATACCATTCAAATTACAACTTAAGTTATTAAAGCACTCTC